TAAAAAAACAAATGCTGATCTGTCAAAATTTCTGTATTTAAAGCAGCTGAAAGAATTGGTTATATTCCCTCAGAAGTACCATGACTCGAAGCTGACGACAAACAGCCCGAAGGTTGTGGGTTCCCACCTGTGTCAACTTGTCTTTCGTCCACCTATACTTCATGTCTGACAATCACTACATTTCACCTATTGCAAGCGACATCTCCTACGTTTACTCGGCTATATTAGCTCTTGTCATCAATGCGATTCTGTTAAACCTTTGGAACAATTTCCCTTCTTCTCGCTAACCATAAGAACCCGTCCACAGAGCAAGAAGCCCCACACCGAATACTTGACTTGGCTGCTAGTTGACTGTTTGAGGGACTGCCAAAGGCTTTTGTAAACTATAGCGTAGTTTTTTTAATATTTCGATAAACCATGCCCTACTCACGTTGCCAGCAAATTTCTCATAGCGTTCTAAAATTAGTGTTTAAATCAATGAAGCGAGTGTTTCTGCTGACACTTGTGTGCATGCTTCCCAAGAAGAATCACTTAGGTAGTTATACTGAAATTAGAAGATTTTTTTTTATTTTCTTCCTTTTATTGCCGCTCTGTTACCAACGATCGTAGAGTGTAGAATGGCGCGTGAAAAGACCTCACTGCACTCAACCTAGTCCTATTGACAGATGTTTAATTAACACCACCATCGAGAAAGATGCATTACGGAACTATTTATTTTGGTAAAAATAGAGCAACATAAAGATCAAGCACTGAAATTCACACAACATTTTTCTATTAACATGTGGGTGACCAGCGAACTTTGTGTATCACGCGGCACATATATGCGAAAAAAAATTTATGAAATGGGCAGAAAAGGCGCGAAGTTTTCAGGAATAGTACAGAATGTCCCTTGTGAGTTTAGCGCCTACTGCTTTAAAGTTTTCGATTTAACCAGCATATGCCTTTTTACTGCATATCTCATGTCGTGATATTTTAGTGTACCAGTGATGAGTACTGGAGTAGGCATCATTTTTCTAGTGCATGTGTTGATCGGTATTTGTCACCGGTGCGCTGCCTTCATATTTATTAGACCAGTAGTGAGAGGGACAATTTTCTCGCTTTCTGTGGCACATACCTGCTGCGGAGATTTTCGGTTCGCAAGGTTAGTATTCGCGAAGGTACGAATGCCTTTGAAACACTTGCGCCGTAAAAACTCGAAGGACTCTTGAACTTCGCCTGCAAGAGTGGAACGTAATAGTCTAGTCGCTTCCCGCGTGCATCGACTTCTCAACTTCTAGCGGCACTTCTGTTATCGGTGCATGCATCAACCGTGCCGTAAGAAAACGAAGGACTGTGTGCGTAGCATAGGCCGTTTCAAACCACACTCTAAGCTGCAAAGGACGAGAAGTGGTCTGTGGTTCATCCTTTTAAGGTGTAACTGCATTGCCACAACCATTACTTCCCAAAGGATGAACGATTCGTCTTTTCGGAAGTAACTGACACTAGAAGAACTGTTTAGTCCCGAGTATGTTTGAGAGACAAAATGTCAAGGAGTAAAAGTTACCCCTGTATGGGAGGTACTGACTGTGTACGGACAAACTGTTGGTCCCATCAGTGGCTCCTTCTCGAAAAAAAGATCAATTCAATACATTTTCTGGCTGAATTGCAGTGAACGTGGAGGTTGATGAATGCTTTTGACGACATATACTATCAATACACAAGAAGTAAATTCAGAAATAAACTACAGAAAATCCACAACAAACACACAGGATTTGAAATCTTGACCATTGGATTAGCAGTCACGTGCGCAAACCATATCAGAGTGAAAATTACCAGACCATATGTAAGCACCGTCTAGATGCTGCGCGTTCTGCCATGTTTCTCAGAACTATAAAATATTCTGTTTCTCAAACTATAAAATATAAATTAAACTTATTTGGCGTTTACAGAAGGAGAACTGCCGATTCAAGTTGTCATCGTTTCACTGCTGATTGCTTTTGTTTTTAGACTCGGATAGATATTTCTGATAGCCTCCTAACCACTGATGTGTACCACGAAGGTAAACTGAGTACACAACCATGGGCGTGCCTATAGCAGCCGAGATTTCGGTGGGAAAACGTGAATGTCACACCATTATGCCTAACTATGAAATCAGCATACATATTCAATCATGACCTGGCTGGCATGTATAAGTTCCCGTTGTTGGGCTAGATGGTGCATTGCGTTAGAAAAAAATAACCCAGACAATAAAAAAATGCCAGGCCTGCACGGAAGGCGCAGCACAGTCACAGCGAAAGCTAGAAGAGCGGCCTTTCAGAGCCTTTTCAAAACACTCATTGGGTAACTACTGCAAGCACACTTGCTTGGTACCCGCTAGGGCATTAATAATAAGCTTTTGGGTAGTAGGTCGGCATTCGCTATGCTATTTTTTCGTCATTCTTCTGAGAAGCGTGGTATGTGCTAAACACTTGCAAGGAATATCCATGCAGTGGCTGACGACGATGAGGACTTAGGGCTAGAGTGGGTATGCGTCACAGTTAATAGGTATACAAGAACAAGATTTTGTAATAGGTTGGATCATTTGGCGGCCCACTCGTTACGCTATTTGCATTGTGTGACGACTGGCTGGTCTTTCGCTGTTGTAAAACGCTTTATAAGTCGTATTAACGCGATTGCTTTACCGACATCAAGCCTACCTAAGGCAAGTTTGACAATAACTCACTAGCACCGGTGTAGCTCAGTGGTAGAATACTGGGCTGGCACCCAGCGGACCCGGGTTAAAGCCGCACTGTTTCATTGGTGGAAGGTTTTTTTTTTTCTATCTTCGTGTGATGTGATAACGGACACCGGCAGTAGCGGTGGCGGACAACATGCAACTGCGCGGGACCCGAAAAGTGATCTCATAACATCTTTCGCAGAAATAACGAACACAGGAAACAAAGGAGAAAGGAAAGTGGCTAGATTTTTGAGGACGTGTACTTGAGCACCCCTTAAGATAGGAACATTGAAAAGTGCCCACTGCATAAGAACGTTATCCTAATAAAAATCAATTTTGGGCTAGTTGGTGCATTCCAATATAAAAAATTAGGCCAATAAAATTACGAACACGGGCAACGAAAAAGGAGACAAGAAAACTAGCCACTCTGCTACTTCGTTTCCTGTGCTAGTTATTTTATTGGCTGGATTTTTCCTGATGTATGAGCACGTTTCTAATGACAAAAAGATGGCGACTATGTGGTATACCGAACATTTCAGAGTGAGCCCTCTCTCGTACTCAATCTGTTGCCCGAGCAGCCTACTCCGCATATTGCGGAAACGTCTCCAATATGGACGTTATGACATGCGATAGCCGTTACCCATCCGTAAAACATGCCTTTTTATACAAACGTGGCGAAGGGGGGGGGGGGTGCATGAGCTCCTAGGGATCCCATTTTGACTATGGGCCTGATGCGATTCAACGATGCAGAACAGGTCACGTACAATCTAGTTTTTTACTTCGAAAAAGGGCTTTGTTGCGAAGCTCGAGTGACATAAATGCACCAAGTTTTTGGATCTATAGTTGAAACGGTAACAAGGCGTGATATACAGTCCGCCGTAGAGGTGTGGTAGTTATGGTGCTTGGCTGCTGAGCCGAAATTCGCGAGTTAGATCATGGCCGTGGTGGTCGCGTTTTGATGGAGGTGTAATAGGAGAGGCCCGTGTACTGAGGAGTGTAAGTGCTCAAAAAAAAGATACATCAGATTGTCTAAAAGCCCTCCACTTACAGCGTCTCCGATAATCATATCGTGGGGTTGGGATGTTAAACCACATATATTAATAGGCATAATAACACCGCGGCTTCAAGAGACGTGTCGTTTTTTTGTTTGTTTTTTGTGGGGAAGTAGCTGATTTAGAGCATATGGTCTGGCGATGCCTCTCGTTAGTCGGTAGTGATCCAAATGGTGCACCGCCATCAGAAGTCCCAATAAGGGGGATCAGCTTTGCGCCGTCTAGACGGACCAGAATGAGGCGGTGGAGCTTAGTCTTTCCGTCCCGACGTACGATAATTTCATTGCGCGCCAGTCATGTCTCTGAGGACTATAAATAAGGTTACAGCAACCATCAACCATCGATTGAAAGTAATGCTGTCAAAAAAAGAATATAATGCCAAGTAAAGGGTTGCATATAAGATCAAGAAAAACGATCGCCTCAACGAGCGTCCCTACATTTCAGAGCAAAACAAAAAAGAAACGCAACAATTACCCGAATAACAAGGTTGTTTGTTTATATTGATTTTTTTATCGTGAAGTTATTGCTTGTCCAGAGACGAAGAATGAATGAGGTGACAATCTTTACAATATTGGTACATATCCCCTCAGGAAGACTCCATTGCCGAGAAGCGGCTGAACATAAATACGATTTTCAAATCTCAAAACATTGAATACCTCCTCACATCAATGGGAGTGAATTATTTTTCTTTATGAACATATTTAATAATGTACCTATTCATAGATTTTGGTCACCCATTTAAAAGGTAATTCAGACACTATATTCTTACGAATTTACGTTGTCGCGTTCCGAAATAAACTAATATATGCACAGAGCTGGTCTGGCTCCTTCCACTCTTTCCTGGTTTTGTAGCAAGAACAAAACAATTACTTCTTATCATGCAACCGCTTTTATTTAGTGTGGATAAACATTCTCAAAGTGGTGTGTTTAGTGGAATCAGATTGGATTCTGTTACTTGAAATATTCTATCCTTGGGAGCGTCCTCATCAGGTCATTTTCACCGGTATCTCAATTCTGCAGTAGAAACATTTTTATACGAATCAGGGTGGTTCTGATCTCGAGTATGTACATTAGCATTACTAATCTATTACAACTATTCTATAATTCATTAGTCACACACTTCCAATGTGATTACATTTACTTCTAAATTATTCATTTCTTGGCCGATCCCTAAAAGTGGGTGTGAGCCATACACAGATGCTATCATCATCATGTGGTGAATCGAATCGCTTATTTGGTATGTTTTCTCGCAGGTCTCTTCTTCATTATCCCGTGCATAGACACCTACTGCAAGGTGGATCTACGAACAGTGTCCTTCGATGTTCCCCCGCAAGAGGTGAGATATGTTTCGACTGAATATCTTGATGTATACCTTTTGTTGAGCCATTCATACAGTTTATCAGTCAGGGCAATGAAGTCTGGTATTCGCGTCACAGTTAGCATTTCTGCGCGTGTAGAATTTCTCAAGTCTTAATAAATGGGTGTTTCTCTACTTCACCCCCATCGTAAGACAGCCTCCGTAGCTGGGCTTCGAACCCGCAACAGCCTCTAGTGGTCAAACAGCATAGCTGTTTTGAAAACTGTCAAAATGACTTCACGCTTGACATAGCGCCTTTCTCGAAATATCATGCTAATATGTGCTCTGTTTTTTTTTTGGAATGGCCCATGTTTATTGTTTTCATTGTTGCTGTGTTTTTTTTTTCCTTCCACGTTTCGTTGTTTTCAGAAACGCGAATGTAATGAGTGTTCTCACTGAATTGCTGATTTTCCAACCGGAACAGGTCTGGCTAATTAGTGACTTGAGCTTTGTATTTTTCGCATTTCTTTAATCCTAAAGGAAATTCCTCCAAGAAACACAAATTAATAATATTGAAAAGTTTTCGCACAGCTAATTAACAAAGAAAATTGTAAGAGGATGATTGAAGTAACGTGTGTTTCCCTTTCCCACAAACACGCGCAAGGTGCAGATTCCGCCGGCCATTCGTTTATTTGAACTTCCTACGTTGCAGCCGGAATGAATCTTTATTTTTAGAACATGCGGTTGCGAGATTACCTCTACATTTAGAGGGCTCCTTTTCTTTTGCTCCTGAACCTGTCATAATAAGCAGTTATTGCACAAAGGGTGCCGGTTTTTACGCTGCCTCATTTTGAGCAGCCGCTGCCGTCAACTCCCTGCTTCTCGCGACTCGAGTTATAGTGCTTGCGGAAACGCAAACACTCATCACGGCAGCGGGAAAATAACCCCTTCCTCCCTCTTTTTTCTTTACTTTCTCTCTCTTCTGATTCTTTTCTTTTTCCTTTCCCAAGACCCAACGGAAAATGTGAGTGGGGGTGGAGGTAAGAGAAGGCAACAGTGGCTGAGCCGGGAAGCTGCATGGTGCAGGCCCGCACTCCTGCCCGGCTTGGAGGTGCGTGATACAGGACACGAGTTTTCGCTGCCCTCAGGCAATGTAATATTTGTACCAGTTCCCATAAAAAGTGTGCATAGGGCACCGAGCACCGCAGTCACATTCTATTGCATTAATGGGGTTCTTCGCTGAGGACATTTTCGAAAGGAAATGAATGGAGCCTTTCGCGAAAGCAGATAATAACCGTCAAATAAAGCAAAATAAAAGGTGTTGCTGCTTTGTTTTTTTTTTCTGTTACAGTGTAGTAAGAAAAAAGTAGCATTGCGTGAAAGGCTTTTATAGTTAACTTATTATGAATGACAAAAACTGCTGAGGCTTTACGTCCCCGAACCCACATGTCCTTGAGAGACGCCTTAGTGGATAGCTTCGGAAATGGCGACCACCAGGACTTCTCCAAAGCTCACCCAAATCTAAGCACGCCCGGCTATGGTGGTCTAGCGACTAAGGTACTAGGTTGCTGATCCGCAGGTGGTGGGACCGAATCGCGGCTGCAGCGGCTGCATTTCCAATGGAGGCGGAAATGTTCTGGCCCGTGTGCTCAACTTTGGGTGCACGATAAAGAACCCCAGGTGGGCGAAATTTCCGGAGCCTTCCACTACGGCGTCTCTCATAATCATGTTGTTGCGTACATGCACGAAGAAAAAGAAGCGTATACGGGGAACGCACTTGTGGCCCAGAGCGAGAGAGGAAGAAGAGGATCAGGAGGATCTTTAACCAGTCGGCCGCTTCTGAGCTACCCCTCGCGACCTAATAAACGGCCCCTTTCAACGTCTATCAGTCTCTTTCAAACGTAACAGAGTGGTAGAGGTGCTGGGTAAGCGCTTCAACTACGGAACGATCACTGCCACAGCTTCGACGAAGCTGTCGACTTGCCGGTCTCCCACCATCTGCCGTGAGTGACTTCGACATGCCCGAAGAAGCAGGCGCTTCCAGGACGGCACCATCTGGTCCGCTTCCATACTACCGAGTTCCACTGCCCTTCGGAGGAAAAGCCGAAGAAGATGTCGACGCCTGGCTCACCAAGTACAAACGTGTCGGCAGGTCCAACGGTTGGGATGCAGCCGCTATGCTAGCCAACGTAGTGTTCTCCCTGACCGACACCGCACTGGTATGGTACGAATACCACGAGGACGAACTCACGACATGGGATCTTTTTGTTGAAGAGCTCAGGGCGTGTTTCGGCGACGCGGTTGCTAGAAAGAAGCGGGCTGAGCAAACACTGTCGCAACGGGCACAGCTACCAGGTGAGACATGCACCACTTACATAGAAGAAGTGTTAAGGCTGTGCAAGGTGGTCTGTGCTACCATGTCGGAAGAGGACAAAGTTGGGCATCTGCTGAAGGGGATTGCTGAGGACGTGTATAATTTCATAATTGGAAAAGAAAGCATCAGTACTGTGTCCGACGTCATTCAGCATTGCCGAACATTTGAAACGCTCAAGATGCGTCGAATCGCGCCCAAGTTTGGTCGGCTGGCTAACGTTACAACTGTTGCCAGTGTGGACAAGAATCCTGGCCTCGACCTTTTCTCTACCATTCGACAGATTGTTCGTGAGGAACTGTCCCACCGAGAAATGTCATGTTCAACAGCTGACCATCGCGAGTTGTGTCTGCCACGTGAGGCTATGGATGTGCCTCCTTTGACCCCATGGCAACCGACAATGAGCGCGGCAACTGTGGAGTACAGCCCAGCCCCACAGTCAAGAATGGCAACCAGATTTCCCGCGTCGCGGTATGACCGACGCTCTCAGCGCATGCCTCCTCGACACCCGACGTCTCGGTACAACGCACCCAACCAGTACATCCGTCGCACAAGAGCAAATGATGACGCTCTGATCATCGACGAGCAACTGACGTTTCCACCTCGGCCGGTGTGCTATTCCTGCGGTGTGCCAGGCCACATATCACGATTTTGCAACCGTCGGGTGACTCCTTGGTATCACCAACCATGCGACTTTTCACGACCCTTCGAACAGCCTCACGGTGTCCGGCGGCCGGCCCACATACCACCTGATGACAACTATTGGCCCAGCAACTTCCGCAACCACTCCCCGGCATCTGACAGGAGTTTAACGCCCCCACCGCGACCTCGTGCTTATCGTTCTCCTTCACCGCTGCGTCGCAAAGCGCCCTCTTCGCCACCGGAAAACTAGCCAGCGCGGTCAATGGGGGTGAGGTCGCTGGAAACGTGCTACTGAGAGAAATACCTCCTGTGTGTATGTTTAAAAACAAAGTGCGTGTTTTGGTGGATCATGTGCCAGTGATGGCCTTGGTGGACACAGGTGCAACGATTTCCGTGATGAGTGGTTCCTTTAAAGACGTGTTAGGGCGGAAAGTTGTTTTTACCTGGGATGGAACTTCGACGTTCTGTGGAGTGAGTGGAGAGCCATTGCGCCCTATTGGTGTGTGTAGTGCTGAGGTATTTTTGGGAGGCCTTATGATAACCACAGAGTTTGCGATTATTCCTCGGTCGACACATGATGTCATTCTCGGCATGGACTTCTTGCGAGAATGTGGTGCCACTGTAGACTGTCGCACGGGGAGAGTCTTTGTGAGTGGCCAGATGCCTTCAGAACTCCTGGAAACTCCAGCGAATGACCAAACTACGCTGCGTGTCTGTGGCGATACGTTCATACCTGCGTTGTCTACCGTACGTGTTCCTGTTGTTTGTCGCGGCGCTGATTCTGACAGCTTCGATGCGAGCGTAGAACCAATGCACATAAACTGCGTGAAGAAGAATGTGTTGGTTCCCCATTGTGTGGTGTCGATTGATGGCGGAAGAACTGGTCTATGGACTGTAAACTGTTCCTCTGAGCCCGTGACCCTACCCAATGGTTTGAAATTAGCTTCGGTCAGCAAAGAGCACGCGACCTTATCAGTGGTCGAGCTCCCAGACGTGCCGGAAGAACGTGACGGAACTGGTTGTCACAATTTGGACGGGGCGCTTATGGCAACGATAAATAAGTCGCTTAGCTCAAGCGAGCGCCGAACCTTAATGAATGTGCTGTTAAAGCACGTTTCGGTATTTGACTTTGCGCAGAAGGGCAAAGTAATCCCTATCCCCCTGTCTCGAACGCGCCATACCATCAACACTGGCGTGGCAAGTCCGATTCGCCAAAAACCATATCGTGTTTCCCCGTCAGAAAGACAAATTATCAACGACCAAGTGCAGGAAATGATCCAAAAGGGAGTGGTACAAGAGTCAGCCAGTCCGTGGGCAGCACCGGTAATCCTTGTTAAGAAGAAAGATGGATCTTGGAGATTTTGCGTCGACTATCGCCGACTGAATGCCGTGACTAAAAAGGACGTATACCCGCTGCCCCGTATAGAGGACGCAATCGACTGCTTACATTCGGCCTCTTATTTTTCCTCCGTAGACTTACGATCCGGTTATTGGAAATTCCGATGCACCCAGAGGACAAGGAAAAGACTGCCTTTGTAACCCCTGATGGGCTCTTTGAATTCAACGTGATGCCATTTGGACTGTGCAATGCACCGGCAACCTTCGAGAGGTTTATGGACACCATTCTGCGTGGCTTGAAGTGGAACATCTGCATGTGCTACCTCGACGACGTCGTCATCTTTGGCCGCACGTTCAGTGAACACAACTCTCGTCTGGATACTGTTTTGAACTGCATCCAAAACGCTGGCCTAATTTTAAACTCGGAGAAATGCCACTTCGGAGACCGCCAGACGCTTGTGCTCGGGCATCTCGTTGACAAGGATGGCATCCGCCCTGACCCCCAGAAGACAGCAGCAGTTGAGGCGTTCAATGCGCCGCGTTCCGTCAAGGAGCTTCGTAGTTTCCTGGGGCTTTGTTCGTACTTCCGCCGCTTTATTCCGAAGTTTGCCGACGTGGCGTATCCTCTCACATGCCTCTTACGAAAGGACGATTCCTTTGAGTGGACTCCGGAGTGCGATTCTTCATT